ACCGGATAAGTAATTAAACTAATTTGCTCTTCGCCATTCCGGGAGTTTTCCTCGATTTTCCGAATTAATTTTCGGGCGTACAGCGCCGACAACGCCGCATCTCCTCCCAAGTTTTATTATTATTTGCAGAGCTCCCGGACTTAACCTAATTTCTTAACAGACTGTCGCTGTTACTGTATTTACTGCAAACTTTATGACGGCATTCATTAACTTATTGAATCATTTCCTTGTAATTTTTTTCAACACAAAGCCAATTAAAACGTTTGTCCGACGAAAGTTGCCCCACAACAGTCCCTGCTATGTAGTTAATTTATAATGTAAAAATCTACTAATGTCGTATTTTAAAAGAAGTAGGTAATAGCGCAATTTCCTCGAGTTCAACAAGGTTAAACAAAAATCTTGTTGATTTTCCTCTTTAATATTCCCGTGTAAAATTACCTTTGGTGAATTTTTGATCAAACAAAACACACAGCCACGCAATCAATAGTCGTGTGTACGGCATTCTCAATAATTCACTAAATAATTACACGGAAGAAAACGCCGGACAAAACATCGTAATTCCCAAAAAAACATATTTTGTGACTGAAAAAATCCAGATACAGAAAGAAAAATCGTCGCGTTAATAATTCACCCGACCAGTTCGCGTTCGGTAGATGGACGTCGCGATAAGACAATGTGGTTACTTTTACGTTTAATAATTTATCAAAAAAAAAATCCGTCAAATCAGTGTCCCCGGAACACGTTTCATTAAAAGTATTAGAGACCTAGCAATCTGCCTGTTTAAACATTCCCTAGAGAGTCACGGAACTGTTGAATATAAAATTGATAAACACGGTAAAATACAAATTGGTGATGGTTATAACGTCTCAAATGAAGTAGTTTGAAATCTACCGATTGCTCCTTCAGGTTGATTTAGGTAGATTTAAAAGTAGTAGAGAGCAATCCGCCCGTTTAAACATTCCCTAGAAAGCCGCTGAACTTTTGAATACAAAATTGATAAACACGGTAAAATACAAACTAGTGATGGTTATAACGTCTCAAATGAAGTAGTTTGAAATCTACCGATTGCTCCTTCGGGTTGATTTAGGTAGATTTAAAAGTATTAGAGAGCAATCCGCCCGTTTAAACATTCCCTAGAAAGCCACGGAACTGTTGAATATAAAATTGATAAACACGGTAAAATACAAACTAGTGATGGTTATAACGTCTCAAATGAAGTAGTTTGAAATCTACCGATTGCTCCTTCGGGTTGATTTAGGTAGATTTAAAAGTATTAGAGAGCAATCCCCCCGTTTAAACATTCCCTAGAAAGCCGCTGAACTGTTGAATATAAAATTGATAAACACGGTAAAATACAAACTAGTGATGGTTATAACGTCTCAAATGAAGTAGTTTGAAATCTACCGATTGCTCCTTCGGGTTGATTTAGGTAGATTTAAAAGTATTAGAGAGCAATCCGCCCGTTTAAACATTCCATAGAAAGCCGCGGAACTGTTGAATACAAAATTGATAAACACGGTAAAATACAAACTAGTGATGGTTATAACGTCTCAAATGAAGTAGTTTGAAATCTACCGATTGCTCCTTCGGGTTGATTTAGGTAGATTTAAAAGTATTAGAGAGCAATCCGCCCGTTTAAACATTCCCTAGAAAGCCGGTGAACTGTTAAATACAAAATTGATAAACACGGTAAAATACAAACTAGTGATGGTTATAACGTCTCAAATGAAGTAGTTTGAAATCTACCGATTGCTCCTTCAGGTTGATTTAGGTAGATTTAAAAGTATTAGAGAGCAGTCCGCCTGTTTAAACACTTCCCAGAGAGTCAAGGAATTGTTGAAAATAAAATTGATAAACACGGTAAAATACAAACTAGTGATGGTTACAACGTCTCAAATGAAGTAGTTTGAAATCTACCGATGGCTCCTTCGGGTTGATTTAGCGATATAGCTCGACCGATCTAATTGGATGTACAAATTCGGCTCGTCGAGCGCAAAAGGAATATTCAAATTCGCCCGATGAGCGGCCATTAATTACGCACATATTCGGCCGTTTATGCGGCGGTCCTTAATTAAAACCTTATACGCGCGTCCCGGCCGATAAAGTTCGGCCGCGTTTAAAACGAAACGAAGCGACGGGCGTCGTCGACGCCGGTCGTCCGGTTAGCGCGCGTGTATATTAGCAAACCAAATGCGTTACGGTCGTTTTGCAAATTAGTTTACTGTTAGCTAAAAGGGGGGGTTTTTCGACGGGCGCTAGGATGTGTTCAACACAAGTTTTAGCTATTTTAAACAGCGCTCGATGGGATGGAATTTTCGTTGGAGTTAATGCCGTCCTACATCAGGAAGGAATTTCCATTTTAACGAAAGTTTGATTACACCGCCCGACTTTTTATTACAGCGCTTTTTACTAGTCCTGTATTAATTACCGTCGGATGATCCTTCAAAGTTTCTTATCTGCCGGCGTTTTATTGATAGCAGTCATGAGATTCTGCTATTAACGGTAAGGTAATTAGCGATCGAACGTGTATCGAGAGTTATCATCTTATTTGCATATTCATTAGACGCAATTAGACGCGGAGCGGGCAATAATAATGCAATGCATTCCAATCTACGGTGGATTATCAATTAATTACCAGCCCGACCTCTTATCCCCGATCCTCCAATAACAACCAGATGCCCCGAGAATTTTAAATTAATTACCTATACTAATTGATCGAATTAGTCGATTCAACAACGCACTCTTCTCGTTAGAGATTAGTAAAAAAAACCAGCTTTTGGCAGGAAACGTTGATAGGGGTAGGTGTAGCTGTATAGAACAATGCAACAAAACTAATATAAGAGTAACTGGATACTCGTAACCCGACACCACCATACTATCACAGTATCGATGTGTACTTAACACCCGAAAGGAAATAAAAACGGGAAGCCTGCGGGAACCCGATCCGACGGCGTGGAGCAGCGCTACTTTTTTTTCCACGAGGAAGAAGTGCTGACTTCCTTCCAGGCCAGCTGCGACGCAATCAGGTGGTCGACCAGGTAGAGCGAGCACGTGGGTTCCCTTTTTTTTTTGTTATTCAGCGTACCGTTTGGGGCGCCCGCCGCCCCGGCTGTAATGATAGCGCGGCACGCGTTCTAATGGCCGGCCACGTGTTGGTCGCGGGGCGGCCGGGGCGCCCCTCGCCCTGCCAGCGCCAATTGTTGAGCGAGGAGATACGCCGCGGCGTTGCCGCGTCTCGATAAACTTCCCCTAATTGTCGGAATTTTATTCGGAACGTTGATTGATCGGTTGTAAAGGCGGTTGTGGCGAGCGAGATTGGAGTTTTTGTAGTGGATGTATGAAAGTTGACAACGTTGTTCGAGAGATAGTCCGGTGGAAAAAAATTGCGAAAATTTTATTAATAGGGATTTGTACGAAGGAGTAATTTTTTCCAAGCGCGCGCTTCGAAATGTCCTCGTTAATTTAAAAGAACTTTATCCCGCCCGACCTCTCGGATTTTCGATTGTTTTTGCCGGTTTTATCCGCCCGCGACAAAAAATCCCTCGGCGGCGGAAAATCCGAGCGGCGGGAAAAAAATGCGGTTAACACGACCTTTAGTCCAGGTGAAAACCGCATCTCGCCATAAACCCACTCCGCATAAACAATTCTATCGATCACTTTATGCTCCCCAAAAACTTTACTACCCGTTTGCTGTACTAAAATCCTACACAGGAACCCCCCAAAACTCCTTATTCTACTCTCTACATGCCAAACATTATTGCAATGCTATTGGTGCGACTTTAGAAGCTGTTCGATTCGCCCTGTATAGCTCTCTTTAGCGCTGAAAGCTGAAAAATCTCGTGCAAAAAAAAGCTCCACCTCGGCTCGTTCGCGCGGAATTTCAATATAAAACTATCCGGGTTTTTTTCTGCCGTATACCGCCGCTGACGAAATTTCAACAATGGCCATTCCGAAACGGCGACTACAATTAATTCTACGCCGGGCTCTTCCCGGTCGGTATGGCGCGTGTCATCCCGAAGGAAAAAAGAACCGGAGGAAAACTCCACAAACAATAATTTTATTCCATGAGCGCATCGGCCGGAATTCTACTCGAATGTAACAGCCGCTCGTATAGAAGCGCGAATTAATAAATAATTCACCGTACGATTATATCTAAATTTACCTCGCAATCGATATAGAAATAAACGTGTACACGCCGCTGTCGCGAAGCAGATGAAACTCCAACGGTACCTGACAAACAGATGGCCGGACGCACTGTATATAGCGAGCGAGCAACAGGGAGCGAAAATCCAATTTCAAAAAACATAATAGCTTTGACGGGCTCGGTGCTTTATTGTCCTTGTAACGAATGGATTAAAATATAAACGAGGCGTTCGTCGAATGAATGGAAAACGTTCGCTTACTATAAATCACACATTAAGTAGCTTACATGTATTATACACACGAAATAATTGAAATTTGATTATCTATGGAATTTACATTTGCACAAGTAAACTTGTGGATATGTTTGTGTGAGTTAGGTGGAGTTAGGACCGGACTAAAATTCGCGGCCATAGACGTTGGACGAGCGGGCGTCCCGGCGCAATATCGGAGCGCCGCCACCGAACGAACGGCGAAAGGGGCGCGAGATATTTCAACCCCGAGCGCCGCTCTCCGCTTCTGTGCGCTTCCACCACCACCGGTCCTCGTATAAAACGGGCGCCGCGCGGAGGGTGCGCTCCAAATACACGAGGGCAACGTTTAGTTTTAGTTTGTTCAGTTGTGCTGTCTTCTATCCACTTCTCTATACTTCGCTCTTTTAGTCCTTTTTCAACAACAATACAAAAAAAAAAACATATTGTACATACCTCGACGTAGCGACGGAATTATACAATCCTCTATCTCTTCCGATGTGCCTGCCGGTGCGCGAGTGCAGCGACGGTGACGGGATCGCAGTGACCGACCGCCGCCGGAAACGCGGCGATTAATCGCGGTTATATAGCGGGATAAAAACGGCGGACATGCCGCGCTGTCTTATGGCCAAGAAGTTCAAGGCCTACGCCTGGCCGACGGAGCGCACCGACGCCGTCGAGGACGACGACGAGGAGATCGACGTCGTCGGGGACTCGCCGGCGGCGGCGGCGGGCTCCTGCTGGGCGCCATCCAGCCCCACGGAGGGGGCCACGGCGCCCAGCCCGCCGCCCACATCGCCGCACGGCACCACTCTACTCTACAACGGTAAGTTTATTCTTTTTTATACATCAGCATTTAAAGTGATCGAGCAATTGTTGCTCGATGCTGGTTGCTACACGAACCTACAAGAGAAAAGTCTCCTGAAACTGGAAATCCTCTGCTATTAAAGTCACAATATACGTGTAAATTGAGTGGTGTTAAATCCATAAATAACTAATCTTTTAATGAAAAGTGATAGCAACATACACTGGGAAACTGTACATACTTTAACAATGTTTATAAAGACACTTAAGGATAATTCCAAACAACCATTAAAAGTTCCATCCACACCGTCTTTAAAGAAATACAGGGTGATTTATAAATTTTTACGACATTGTCTTCCATTTATATAAAATATCCTTCATGTGTGAATTTTGTTTGGTTAATTCTTTGGTGGAAGTTTGCATTTTGAACCAACAATGTAAGAGTATGTATGGTTCACCCTGTACAACAGAAAAAAGCGGTTTAATTCAGTCGAAATGATCATCAATAGGAGCTCCGGGATAAACTGTTGAATCGTATTAATGCACTTGTAGAGCCTCATTTAAACCTTAAAAATGTCATCGCTAACAGCATTAGCTAATAACGCTGATACTGGCGAATTCATCCAACGAGACCTGTTACATGAATAAATCAATCGCTAATTGAAACGTCGATGAATAAAATAAAATGCGGAATTCGTCCTGCAGTTAGATAACTTCAAATATTAATCGCTGTGAATTTTAGAAATGAAGTTAATCCGTTGGAAAATTTTAATCAGACACTTGCTGGTACACGTAAAGTAGTCCTCTAAGGATATTAGGTTCGTTTTTATCGGGACAATTACGGGCGGCCTCGGCGGAGCAGCCTCTCCTTGCCCGCCCATCTGTTGTGATGTATCCGATTTAATTAAAAAGGGGGGCTCTCCCGGCCCTCCTGTTTCTCTTCGATATACAGCTGTTGAGCGAATTTACACGTCATGAATACCCTTACTTAGAGCTTGGAGCCCACCGAGACGCGATAGGGGATACTCTTCATCTTGATGGGTACTCTGCAAACAACGGGAAATTGCTCACCTCGCAACTAGCATAGAAACTGTCGCGGAATAAATTTTTGATGCGGTATAATGTTGCATGATGTACGAATTTACGGATCGCTAAATTGGACTAATAAACTGCCCTGTCAAAATATCAACGGACGGAATGTAATCCTCTATCAAAAGCTGACGTTTTGCGTGAATAATACGGTTGTTTATGCGCGATAAAGCCATAGGTAGGATCGCAAAGGGCTTTCCGGAATAACTTAATACCATTCGGAAGCCCCGAAATCTAATATTGATGATAATTTCGGTTTGCGTCCGACACCTGTTTCGCATTCCGCCTTCCCCGCGTGCATTTTCAATCGCGAAAAATCGACGTATGGGCGAAGGTAAACAAAATCGAATTATATTTTTTTCGCCATCTCGCGAAAGTTCTACGCGGGGAAAACTTTAACGCGGAGCGCGTAATTGAATCGCGGTGCCAATAAGATCCACCTTTATCGATGGAAATTCCGGAAAAGCGAGCCAACTAGCGCGGAAAATTAATTACAACGCAAAGTTTTTCCGTGTACAGTGTGTCGTGGCGCCGTTGCCAAGTTTCCGCGTTTTTCAAACTAATCGCCGGAATTTCGGGCTCGTCTTTATAAGAGATTCGTTGGTGCTCGAGGAGACTTCTATTTATTTACGACTTGTGCAAGTTTTCGGAGAGTTGCGCAACTGTTGAATACCCCGTATATTATTAAATGTGCAAGGGAGAGGACGCGCGGGCGTTGTTCGGTCGTAAATAAGTTGCGAGTTTAATGAAAAGGGGGCCGGTTTGGATTCTTGCGATTGCGTTCCACTTATACCCGAAAATTCCCGTCTTCCCTTATTTTTGGACCTGCTCTTCAGCATTAAGCATTAAGTACCTCAAGGGGGCGATTTTAGTTTTTTTTTTCGAGGAGGTTTTATTTATTGCTGGTACTTATTGGTGTATTAAGTTAATGTATCAAAGAGCGTTGAAAAATCTTTTATTGGTATTAAATTATTGGTAGTAAAATCAGTAGCACGATATGTACACAAGTTAATTGATCGAAGTAAAATATGTTCAATTTAAATTTGCGTTTTATCGTTTAGAATTTTTATTTGATTTTACCTATATTTTATAGTGAAAAATGCATTCGAAGACACGCAATTGGAATATTATGCACTGGTATCGGCCGTTCGGTTAAAATTGCTTCTATTAATCAGATGACACGTATATTTACATCCGTTCGATTCGTGTCAGGCTAAGCAGGCATTTTATGAATATTAAAAATGCGAGTAAACAAGCCCGAAAGAAAATTCCCTTAACGAGGACTTGTTTTTCTCCGTCGAAAGTACATGCGAAAACCCCGTCGAAAACAAAGCCATTTTATTCTCCTCGCCTGGTAATTCTCCCCGCATTCCAAATAGGTCAAACTCCTCCGGTCTCTCCCGTTTGTTTTTTTATCGGCTCATTTTCGGGTATTACGTCATTATAATGCGAACTCGCCGATTCCGAACGGCGTATTTATGCAAAATTTATTCTAATCCCAGCGTCGCGGTGCCCCCCTAAAACCGGATCCCGGCGAAAAGGCCTTCTCATATCCGCCCCGCCGTCGTTTCTTATGTTTGATATCTTTGTTGCGTTCTTTGTTGCGTTGTCGGGGCGCTAGCGACATTCTTATGCAAAACAGACAGCCCCAACGCACGCCCTAAACTTTATATATATACCGAATGTCCCCCTTTTCTGACAAATTAGAATAGCAATACAATTGCAACTCATCTAATGCACCACTCACTCTATGTTATATATAGTGACTTTAATAGCACCAGGTCCTGGATGATTGTGCTCGTTGTGGTCTCGGTACTAGTACAGCTATAGGAAATTGCATTACGTGGTTGATATTTCAGGTTATCTTCAAGAAATTTCGCCGTCGAGTTACGCCACGTTCGTGCCGAAATCTGACCTAGCCGCGGGCCCGGCCCAGCCGTCGTACATCACGCTGCGCAGCGCCGACGAAACGGACGAGTACGCCGCCCAAGCGGCGCCCCAGCGACCGAGAAAATCCCTGGCGATGACCTACACGAGCACCGGCACGGCGCTCAGCCTGCCGCCCAAGAAGAAGGACATCTACCGGCCGTACTCGCTCGACGACAAACCGCCGCCGCCGTTCTTCCACCACGCGATCCGCGTGCCCGCCGAGGAGGACCTGCACGCCGCCCACGCCATACTCGATCTGAGCGCCTCGACCACCGTGTTCCTGCCGCCGCCGCCGCAGCTCCACGTCCAGGACCAGCACCAGCCCGACCAGCAGGACGCCCAGCCGGTCAGAACGGTCACGCCGACGTTGAAACCGGCGAAGACGGTCGCTTACACCTACGAAGCGTTCTTCGTGAGCGACGGTCGGTCGAAGAAGCGGCTCGATCCGGACGATCCGGCTACAGTGGTGCCCGTCAAAACGCCGCCGGATAAACCCAAGTACACCTGCAGCGAATGCGGTAAGCAATACGCCACCTCCAGCAATCTATCCAGGCACAAGCAGACCCACAGGAGCCTGGACTCGCAGGCGGCTAAGAAGTGCATGACCTGCGGCAAGGCGTACGTCAGCATGCCCGCCTTGGCGATGCACGTGCTGACGCACAAGCTGGCCCACAGGTGTGGCGTCTGCGGCAAGCAGTTCTCCAGGCCGTGGCTGTTGCAGGGCCACCTCAGGTCGCACACGGGGGAGAAGCCCTACGGGTGCGCCCACTGCGGCAAGGCCTTCGCTGATAGATCGAACCTGCGGGCGCACATGCAGACGCACTCGGCGGACAAGAACTTCGAGTGTCCGAGGTGCAGGAAGACGTTCGCGCTGAAGAGCTATTTGAACAAACATCTGGAGTCGGCGTGTTTGAAGGATGAGGCTGGTGGTAAGGATGACTCGGAGGCGGCGCTGGCGGCGCCGGTGCCGGTCAGAGTCTACGCTGGATGAGTTAACTTTCGAGGCCTCTTTCTATCGTTTCGTCTAGTCAGCTTTCTAGTCTATTTCCGGTTAGTTTAGTTTCGGCGGAGTCGCGCTGTTTTAGATTAGAAGTTAATCGTTTCGTTTCGATTCGTTTTTGATTTATCGATAAACTAACGCCCCTTGTACATAATATCCCCTCCAAAAAAAATAACAAAAAAGAAGAGATAAACACATCGAAACACGTCCACTAATTTAGGTTTAGTAAGTAAGCTCTACCTTTTAGACTACTATCAAAGGGATGTATATAGAAAGCAGTTTATTACAGGCACCGTTACTATTTTATTTTGTTTTGCTAACGGTTAAGGGCATCGATCGAAGGAGGCTTTTTGCGCGGAAAAGCGGAAAGTCGATGTTCTAAAAGCACGTCGGAATTGAAAAGCGCTCGCTACGATTTACTGACTTAAACGTTTTAACATTTCATGCAGAATTCACATTCACACGCGAATTTAATTTACGCGCAATGTTCCTACCGATCTTAATTTTCCCAAAATCGAAACAAAAAAAAAGTCTTCCAACCCGACGCCGAAACGTACCTACAACAGGACGGAAAAAATGAAACCGGCGAATGTAAATCTCTCGGAGAGAATTAACTCGTCGAATCGAACTCGGCGTAATTTATGCAAACTTATTCGAATAACTCCTTCCTGCGATCGAAGCCTTTAAACGAAACATCTCAACCATTTTCGAGGTTCTCTAAGAACGCGAAGGCAACGTTTCGAAAACAACGAACTTATGCAAATACCTAGTGTTATATAAACATATTTTAGATTAAGAAAGGATTTAAAGTGTTACCGTTCCTCGCCCTTTTTAAAATTAACTCGCATTTTCCTATCCCGAGCCTTAGATTATTAATACAAGTTTTACTTGCTGATTTTATCGCGCAATCGCCCCGACTATTACAGGAACGTGTCTACTGCACGCTTTTGTTTCTATATCAAAAAAAAAACATACGTCAATTAAAACTGCAATATTTATAATATTTTAATATATTCTTTAAAGGGAGAAAAGAAATTAATCAAATTAACTGCATATGATGTGTTGGTTTCGTGCAGTTGGTACATTCCGTATTAGTCCGAAGGGAAAATCGAAAAAAAAATGTACATGAGCAACGCGAAATTTCAATTTGAATTGATAGTCAAAAAAAACGTATCTAGTCCTTGTTGTTTCTAGTCAATTATTCGTTTCAATTATAATTTATTCAACTAGTAATTAATTTAAAAAGTGAGTTCGTTTCGATACTACTTACTTTAAATAAATTGTATAAAAGCAAATATACCTTATACAAAAAAAAAGAATACGAAGCATAGTTTTTGGGCAGTATTTTTGCAAGTATTTATTACAAAATATATTTATTAAAGTAACCAGACTAATCGATGAACGAGAACTGAATGATTGGATGTTCGAATTGTTGATCGGGCGACTTACTTATATCGGTAAATTCGCCGGAAAAGCTGAAACCGACGGAAATATATGCAGGAATTTAATCGTCGAAGACGCGACATCGACCGATTCGCATCGAAAATCCGACTTTTCTTTAGAAAATTAGCGAATTTGCGAGACTTTCGAACGCGAATCGGGCCGATGGTCTTCGACGAATTAGTCAACTAGTCGCTATTATTAGTGTTAAGCATCATCAGCCGCGCTATTAATGAACAAACCGAGTAATTATACGTTGCATATATTTCCCGAAAATAGTGTAAAAAATTATTGAATTTTAGGGCCAGTGCAATGGGCCCGAGCGCTGAGCCGAGGCGAGTGTGTTTCTAGTCATTTAGCCAATATCAGTAGTGCCGGGCCATTAAGGGATCGATAATCACGACTAAAATATAACCAATTTTCCAAAAATTTGTGCCTTAGTTTCGAATATTCAACCAAAAAAAAAACAACGAAGAATCTTAAAATTTATAATACCAAAAGTTACTTGAAATATTACAATGATTTTTATGTTAAATCAGTTTCTTTCTCATATAAAACTAATTATTAATCGGGCCTGAAAAATTATTTCTTCCATAATATTCATCGTGATTACTCGACCCCCGTCCAAATAGAGTAGAACTGAGCACATGTACAGTATAGAGTGAGTGCAAATTAGAGAATAGGAGTTATTTATTTGAAAAAATATATATAGTTTATATTGAACCATTTTCTGGCAATATTTTCCGGGGAAACTACCCGAACTCGCGATATTCATTAAGCAATAATCTACAACAAATTATACATTAAATGTGTAAGGCAAGTTGAATGTTTTTTGTAATCACAACGAAATTCTTTATTCTCGCGATGGCAATTTTAGCGGCATTAAATTGTCAATTAATTGTTATTGTTCAAATGTGATGCGTGAATACAACGAAATCGCGATTGATTGCTCGAAGCGGATTCGCGCTAATTTTCCCATCGTGAAAATATGTTGTTTATACGACGAATTTTTATCACAAATTTGTATACCTAAAGCAATATACCTGTAATTCGACAACGAATGTCATAAACGTAAAAGCAATATGTACCTACGTGTTTTTTGTGGTCAAAAAATTTTTGATATATCTAATAACGAATGTACTTTGGAGCAACGAAAATTCCAAAAACTCTCTGTCCCCGAACAACCGTAGACGAAAATAGTGCGTCGAGCGAACGCACCACTTTTGGCCGAGAGTGTATTTACATGTACGCAAACTCCGATTAATTTTCTTACAAAAAGAAATATTCCGAATTTTTTTCGTGTGTACGTTGTTGCGGAAATGCATTGGCGGGTATTTGGGGTTCGGAATATTTTCTGCCCGGATAGCCGGGTATTCGAAAGCAATAAATAAGTAGATCGGCCCCTCAACGGGGCCCTTCCTTCGAAACTATAGCAATATAGGTAAAGGTTAATTAAATAATTAATGAGAAAAAAATATATAAAAAAATATTTACGCGGAACGGTCGACGTTAAAGTAATCTTGCCATTTCGGTCGGAGCGATTTTTAGATAAATTTAAACTGTAAAATATATTTAGGAGAGTAGGATGTATTAGTTTCTGAATAATCTGCGATTATTTTAACATCGACTTCCCGAACAAAAAGTATTAGATAAACATCGAAAGACGTTTCAAATTTACGTGAAAGTTCTCGTACAAACCCGCGTCAATTAACAAGAAAAAATTTTATTATCCACGAATCTATCAGAGGAAAGCGCTGTCTACCAAAATTGCATCGAAAAATTCTCCTTCCAACACCATGTTAATTTTTATTACAAATAATTATTAATACAGAATTCGAAGAAGTTTAATTTATCGTCGATTTTCCCGGCGTTATTACATGTATCGCTGGAATCCTCCGGGCGGTATTTTCTCATAAAGGCCATAAAGCAATCGTAGACAGCGGCCTCGATGTCGGGAGTTGTACGTCAACCGATGATGAACTCCGGCGTTTTGGGTCAATACAGCCGGTGCAATTAAACACACTAGTGGTTTGTAGGAGCAGCTTTCGCCGTATAGTTTTAGCTGCCTGCCTATTTAAATATTATAGCAATATAGCGACAGCAATAGTTTACAATTATTAATATATAAACGAAATATAATCAAAAAAGCAATACCGTTTATTGTAATAATTTATAATAATAGTAGATGAGGAAATTAAAAAAAAAAAACGTAGAGTTTTTAGAAAGATTTTAACGCAAGGTTTCTGGATGTATAATTGCAGTCGAGCGAGTGTGTAGTGGAAATTCCAGTATTCATTCGGGCGGCTGTAAACGAGTCGTAACGGAAAATATCGAAGGGTATTTTCCGCTAGAATTCGGTCCGGTCATTTTACAACCCTTTGTATAAACTAACGAAAAATCAACCGCCGTTGTTTAGCCAATTATATTTCGCCGCTATTAAAAAGGAAAACTGGAATGTTTGCCGTTCATTCATATACACGTAATTAAAAATTTAGCTATACTGTGGAAAACTAAACAGCGGCGAATGGCGGAATGGAAATTGTTCGCAAATCGGATCGATGCTAATCAAAAAATTTTTTCGTTCACGTATCTTCATCTGCATCATTCAATGTGGTATACCATCTTCTTTATTTTTAGCCTAGCTAATTACAAGAAGTGGTTTTTGCGGGGAAAACGGTGCGATAGGCGAACAGTGGACGATTCCTTATGAGGAAAATTCATCGTTCGTAGAAAGACTAATGCCAAAGAAACATGTAAATTTTACGCATGAGTAAAATTATAAGAAAAAAAAATTATACAAAAAAGATAAAGATTATTTTATGAACTTTGGCTAGTGCGAAACGCTTGCAGAACCTGTACACTTGCAGTCCACTAATTGACCACATTATAATTATTATTACCGTAACGATACATAGTAAGTTTTGTATTATATTTTCATAATAAATAGAATAGAAAAATATTGAAAAACCGTCGATTTTTATTTACCCTCCACCAATCGAGGATCGAAGATTAGAAAGCTGCCAGTAAAAAAGAAATTCCCAGATACTAAAATTAAGACATTTTCCCTATAAAATCCAGCGAAATCGAGCTCGAGTTTTCATCCCTTTGAATCCCCGCCATAATATATCATTCACCGTTAAAGCAAAAGCATAAAATTTATTGGCCAAGAGGCTTCTTTATTCACAATAAATTCAGCTTAGCGACAACTCATAGACTATTTATAGAGGGGCTTCAATTTAAACGGCCCGATTTTACGTCTGTATCAGATATACATAAACACCCCATTACTCGAATATATACCGCTAATAGCTCATTTACGGCCCCGTTATCTTGTATCAGCACAAAAGTATGTCATAACTACATCGTACATTTACGCGAAGCACGGAGATGGGCGATTAATAAATAACAGTTACAATTATAAATACGAAAAGGTGGGTTTGCGCCCGTTCTTTGAATAATTCAAGCGGGACCGGGAGCACTCTGTTGATTATTTAATCGGGCCATGTGTTCGTTACACGCGTTTTTCGCCAGCTGTTCGGGCGCATCTCGTATGCACTAGCAGCGCAGTTTTTATTAATTTCCCGTCGTTGTTATACCGACGAAACGGAACACAGCGGCGTTGCAATTAAAATAGTTTTTAGCGCGAAAAAATCGAACGGACAGCGCCGCGGCGAAATTGCATTCTAAAATATTTACGCCCAATTAGTTCCGGAGCCACGTCGAAGAGGAGCCTTTTTGTTAGGTTTCGGTTGTGAATTAATTAGAGATTGACTCCGCCGAATTCAACGCTCCAACTATACAACCAAATCCTTCAGAGTACTCATAAAAAAATGCCGAAAATGGAAAAAAGAAACGTTTTAATAATTAATTGTGACAATTACAACAAATAATTCACCATACAAAACAGCCTGAGCACCTGGCGAAGTCATCGTAGGTCCGATAGAAGTCGCTGTCGCACATATTGCAGTTTTGAAAGGCCATGCGGCAGCCTAGCACTCCGCAGTTCCTGTACAGGCAGTAGTTTAACCTGGAACATCCGCCGATACAGGGATTTTGCGGATAGTACATGTACTGGGCCTTGCACGGCGGTCCGCAATTTTGCTTCATCGGCTGTCTTAAATCGGTGGTCAGAGTGTAGCAGCAATTCGATTCAAGTTGTGGAAGTGGATATGGAACAACTAATGGAAATGGTATAACTTTTGGGCGATTAGGCACAGGGATTAGCACAGGCATTGGCTCAGGGACTGTGCTTGTCGGTTCATTTTTGGCAGGTACAGGCTCTGGCGCAGCGAATCGCTCAATCTCTGGGCTTGGGGAAGATTCAGTAGGACTTTCTTCAGGTTTTATAATAACGTTCACTTCATTTGTAGTTGCCACATTAATTGGAATATGAATTGTGTTTTTTAAATTAACGGTGTTGTTAATAGTCAATGTCTGTTCCAATGTGCTATTGTTGTTTACTATTGTGGGATTACTGGGCTCTCTTGGTTGTATCGGATATGTATTAGTCGGATCTGGTGAATAATCAGTCGAATTTGGTTTACAATTATTTTGATTACGTGTACAACAATTATCTGAACAGCAATTAGAATGATTTTCTGGGCAGCAATTACAGGTACAGCTACAACTACAGCTTGTGGAGGAACCGCAGCTCTTTTGGAACGATAAGGCGACTGATAAGGTCAAAATTATCGTGATCAGTAGAAATCCCTTAAAAAATATTCAAATTCAATTCCTAATACTCTTAATAAACGAAATTGCTATGCAAATTTTGCTACATTTACAAAAAAATTAATACAACTTACCCGATCAATTTTATTAGAATCACCCATTTATGAGAATGTATTAGAAGTTACTACACAAATGAACCAATCGCACATTAATAACCCTGTACTTATAATGTATCCTAAACATTTTTTTTGAACTGATAGGTCAACATACATGCAATTTTGTAATCAGACTTTCAAATGAAACGTTACGCGATTAGGAAACTAGTTTATTTAAGTACAAATCTAACATACACTTTACAATATCACAACAGAAGAAACGATCACAATTTCATCACCTTATCGAAAAATTCGAAAATATCATCGACCAAAACGTCGGGCACCTCTAGAGCCGGAAAATGGCCGGCCTCGTAGAAACTCGCGTGGATTAAATTCGGATATTTCACCTTCAGCACGGCCTTCGGATAGAACACGATGTCGTGCTCGAATCTCGCGCAACCCGCTGGAACCTGTATAGATATGCTGGAAACGAACCCGAATCAACGCAATTGCCAGAAACAAATCGGATAATGCGGTTAGTTACCCGTCGACGTCGAAATTCCCGGGAAACTCGGAGCTCCAGTGCTCGGCGTATATCCTCATGGAGGTCGTTATGGAACCGGTGATCCAATACAGCATGATATTATCGATGAGCGCGGTCATTCCGTAGGTTTCTTCCAAACGTCCGTCGTCAATTCCTCTGTACGATGCTTTAGTTAGGGTGATGAATTTCTCCAGCAGATAAGCTGCTAGTCCTATCGGGCTGTCTCTTAACGCTACACCTGTATGCACCCATAAAATTAATAAATGTTCTAATCTATAGATGCAATGGTAGTCATACCGAGTGAATCAGGTTTAGTGGCTTGCAGATGGAAATACCCAGTTTCTTCGATTCGATAGAACCAAACCGACAAGTCGATGCTCTGGGTGTACATATGGGCCGATTTCAGCTCTTCCTCGTCCAATAGAAACGTGGGATAGAACGCATAGATTAAGTTAGTCACGTAGCCTTTGAACATATTCACGATGCACATGTTCGAATGCATCGCGATGACTTTGTCCGGATACATCACCGACATGGCTTGTACGATGGAAGCCCCCCAATCGGTGCCTTGGACGTAGAACCTCTCGAAGCCCAGTCTTTTCATCAGATTCTTCATGACGACGCTCGAGTTGAAGGAGCCCATGCCTTTCTTGGCCGCTCCATCGGAAAACGCGAAGCCTGCACAAGATTCGATTCAGAGGGAAGTCGAGCGAATTTTCATTCAATATGTATTACCTGGTAATGATGGTACTATTACTTCGAAAACGAAATTCTTGCCTTGTTTAGGAGTTGTAAGTTTGGGTATGATTTCGTACATTTCCCTAACAGATCCGACCCAGCCATGGAGTATGAGCAGTGGCAGGACTTTAATACTTTTGGGTACTTTAGGTTTGACGTGAATGAAGTGGATGTCTAGTCCTTGGATGTTTACCAGAAACTGTGGGAATTGGTTGAGGTAAGCTTCCCTTTCTGTCCAATTGTATTCGTTTTTCCAGAAATGGAGGACCTTTTGCAGCAGATTGGTGTTAATGCCGTAGGTGTGCTTGGTGCCCTTTAGGGCCGGTTGCAGAGGCAACGTGTGCTCCAAGCGGTATTTCAGGTCCTTCAGGATCTGGAAATTTATTATTAGACAAGTATTTTTGAATTCACTTCTTTATACAGTATGTACGAACTGATCCGCTGCAAGCATATAATGAGAATAATGAGATAGCTAATTTAACTTTTGCTATGTAAGGAATAAAGAGAACATACGAAATAGTCACGCCCGCTATCCCCGCTATTCGCTAGTGGACGAAGCGAAGCGAATTGACGAATTCTAATATCGGCCGGCAACCGATAAACAAGTTTCTGTTCTTTACTATCTTATAGTATTGATTGAGATTCTAATTCTAACGCTTGCAGCGGAAGAATTCGTACACTCTGTATACACATCAACATTAAATATTTTTGTCTGTTAGTTGGTATATTTACTACTGTTTAATCGGTACAAGTTTTTTTCGAATGTTTAGATACAATTCGCAAATTTTTATAGAGATTAATTCTAATCGCTTTATCTCTAATTTCGAAGCGAAATTGTATCTAATCAATTTCGTCAAGGATAACCAATTAATTAATATTTCATGTGGAAAATAATTAATTACATGTAAATGGATTGAAACAATAGACAGAAAAAAATATACAAATCGTTGTTACCTCATCGGAGACGCTGATTTCGAACGGCCTGATCTTATCGTCGATGTAACGGGGTTCCCCGGGCCCCCACCAGCTCTCGTTGTACGCGGGCATCGAGGGCTCTTTCATCAGTTTCGCCGCCCAAAACCACACCAACGCGATCGGGATCGCCATAATGGGCATCAAGCACTTACAACCCACCATAGTCTCGCCTATGCAATTTACTACACCTAATTATACTTACGCACTACGAGCGATTTATCGGCGAAATCATCTTTCGAACGACGATAAAATTTATTTTTAATACGAACACCAAACCGCATTCGCCGATTTTCCACCGGTCCCAGATGATAAATCGCGCGGATTTTTCGTGGTTGACAATCGAAGGCGAATTGAACAGGTTTCGAGAAATGTATTTTCATTCGGTGTAAACAAAGAGGTACACGTGTAGATAATGTTTTTCTCCGTACGTTCAAGTTCAAATTTGAATACCAACGAAACCTAATACCGGGTTCATGCTGTAATTAAACGGACGTCTACCGGGCACGCTCATTAATTCGTCAATTAATACACGTGTGGAATTACAATTACTTCAAATGGTATAATAACAACGTTGTTTATATCAACAATAACTGCACATATGTATATTTAAATAAAGTTCTTAATTACTTGTAATAGCAGTCTCTGCATCGTAGAGCTACCCTGTGTATGCTAAAATCGCTGTCGCTGGGATTAGGGCATTTGTTGCATTCGAAATGCATTTCATTGCATCCCTCCAATCGGCAATCCCTCTTGAAGTAAGACACTCTAATTTTGTACCCCGGAGTCGGAACAAACTCTTTCCTAAAACACAAAAAAAAAACCATCGACTAGAGTTAGTATTAAAACAACTCGTGTATACGTATTTAAGGAGTTAGCGGCGAGCTTTTAAAGTTGAAAGTATAATAAAACGGTAGATATAACACCAGTTCCGTGTAGCAGGGCACTTATAGCAGCGTAGGATAATATTTACTTTAAGGACTCCTCGGCGCAGAGATGACCGCAACTGATGGTCTGATAGCATCGTCGGCTGTTAACACAAAACGGCAGGACGCAACAAGGACCATTTGCCACGTCGCCGGCGCGATCGGGGGGCGGCGGGGCCGCCGCGATCGTGACCGCGGCCGCCGTGCAGCATATTAGGAATCCGACGAGGCTAATACTGCATGCCTGCAACGTATAAAAGCGGTCTAAATAAAAGCGAAAATAAAAAGTAACGGGCGGGAAACGGCGCCCGGGGGACGGGGGCGGTTTCGGGGCTTACCGTCGCCATGTGAGGAGTTTTCGGCGCGATCGAGTGTATCTAGTGCAAACTTACCTACTGAAATATTTTCCGATAGGATTGCACAGTCGCTGATTGTGTCAGCGTTATCTCGGATTTGTGCAATAAATCAAACAAAAATTGTGCGGGAAGAAAAATGATATTTGCATTTTCGAAATTTTGTTTTGATAAGTGATCATCGCTGTATTTATAGACGGTTTTATCTGTTTCGAACTATATTAGACACCACCCACGTTGAATATGCAATATACAATTTTATTTCATTCATACCTTCTTTAATATGCTGGGAAGTGGGTCATAATATTTTGAATTTTATACCTTGAAAAAAATCACCGTATCAGTATAAATATTATTCCACAGTGGATCAAATAAACAAATTTTCGATATTTACTTTGGTATCAGGAAAGGTCAATGTTGATGGCTAGAAAAATTTGCAGTGTAAATGCTTATAAATTTCACGTCAGAGCGCGATAAAACCGAATTTTGGACTTATTTATTATACCATTTAATCGAACACGATTATTAAGTAATCAATTTTTGTAAAAAGCGTGTAACAACACAATATAAATAAAATCGTCGGAATTTTAAAATTTAGTCAATCACAGACTTGCATTCATGATATCAACAAAAATGGTAAATTTATCTACTACTTAGAGTAGAATCTACCAGAGTGCATTAATATTTTTTTACATTTTTAGTACGCGAAACTATTAGTGATTTTTTCTGCTTGCATCGCAATATCCTCGACTTCCATAATCCACGGCTGGCCTCAAAATCAAGTTTACGACGTTCACGGTAACATCAAGCACGACCAACATCACGGAAACACTCAGAATTGCTGCCTCGTTCGAGGATGTGACATAAACACACTACGGTAGGATTTTTCCTAACTCACTCTCATCATTAAATTGCCATTACTCTAACGGTACCACACCATATTAATTCATGCAATGCGATATATCGCTTCATTTCCACTTTCCCGGCTTCGAATTTCGACTACTCGTTCATCCCGCAGGTGCTCAACGAGCGTGCAATGCGGCCACATCTGCTCCAACGGTGATTACCCCAAGGCGGAGTATGGACATACTCCCGGCTACCGGTTGAAGAGCACCTACACCAAAAACGACTGCGTTTTCGAGGAATGCCAGTTGTACCGGTACACTTGCAGCCATTGCCCCGATCCCTCCGCCACCGATTTCAACGTTAATTTAGTGCGCAAGGATTGCAGGGAATGCTACCAACGTGATTATTATTATTAAACAAATTTACATGTACTTAATAAATTATTTAAGTTTATCACTCGAAACACTTTAATAATAGCAATTGATACAATCGTAATCGATATTGTACACGTCGAAATTCGCTCTGTTCGGATCGGGACATCTTCTGCAATCCACCAGGTAGTCGTCGCATTGGTACAACCTGCAGATCTTCTTCATGTAGTAGTTCTTCCGTTTGTAGCGCGTTTTCGCCGGGGTTTTCTGCTCGCGCGAGCACTCCTCGCCGCAGATCTCCTTCCTGAAGCACTGGAACACGTTGTGGCCCTCCTCGTTCAGCGGGATCTCCCTGCACCTCGACACCGAGCAACAGTTTCGCGGGTGAATCGTCGGGGATTCCGACGAAGGGGATATCAGGATGAGTAGAAGAAGCGCTGCTAACTGGATTAGAATCGGTTTATCGAGTAAAGTGGAGGATTCTTTTGTATATTAACTTACCGTTTCGATGTTGTTTATTGCGCGCATTTTGTGCGTTTGGTTGGATTAATATGCTGTAAACAACTATCGATCGATTGAATATGCGTGGAATTTTTAAACCTTTCTTAACAGTGTTATCAGTGTGTTCTGGAAATTTATTACGCAACGTCTTTATTTACATTATTAAGAGGATTGAATAAAAGCTAGGTACACATTGGACATTAATAAAAAACTTCAATCATAGTTTTTCTGTAGATGTCTCTATTGGAAATGGAAATAGTAAAGAATCCAGTTCGATCGGCACTCAAATATTCCCTCATTCGCTTCCAGATTAGAAGCAGTAAAATATATTTTATTGTTTTTCTTGACCCCCGACCTTCCCTTAACGGGGCACGTACGGCCTTTCGGGTCGTGGTGTTGGGGACAATAGCCGGACGCAGTGGCGTGCGACAGAAGGATCCGATGCGAGATTAGAACGTAAAGTTATTTATTAAAGCGGGTGTCGCAATTGACCCAATATCGGAATCGATAAATGAATTCAGTTCAATGCGACCGAATTTCCCAACGAGTTCGCCGCGGATTAAAATTACCTTGGAATATTTATTTACAATTACGTCGAGGCGGAATCGGGTCGAGTCGCGGAGCTAATGGAAAATTTATCCGCGCTAAGAATGCATATGAAATTCAAACAGGCAGTTTCCCGGAAAAAGGGAAAAACGCACGGTGAGAATTTATGATTTTCGATAGGGCAAAAGTTGCACATAGATTACGAAAAGCACATATCAAATAGTGTTCAACGGCAGTTTTAATGGTCCGGACTGTTACCTAGTTTATTCAGCAATCGTCAGCAACCGTCCCCGGTCCGAAATCCATAAAACACATCCCCATACCGGGTCGACTATATTTCTCTTATTCGCTTCTACGTCGAGCAAAAATTCCCTTCAAATGTGTATTTACCGAAAGCAATTTACATGCTCCCGCAAAAAATCCAATTTCGCCTAAGAAATCAAGCAATAATCGAATGATTTAGTGTCAATAAGGAACCTAACGAGTTTAGCGCTGCAACTAAACATTCATAAGGTGAATTGAACGTTAAAATAACGTTTTCCGATGAAATCATCGACTGAAACGACTGCACAAATCGCTTTTAATTGGAAACTCTACTCGTTTCGACTATTTTTCCCATCAATCGGTTAGCGTTTTATGAAACTTTCGATCCAATTCGGGCTTTTAATTATACAAAACTCCTTCGGCGCCCGTTAATAAGGCGCAATGAAACTTTTCCGGAGCGCCCGAAAAAAACAAGCGGAGAAAAATCGAAAGAAAGAGCCATAAAGTTTAATTAATTTCGCGAATAATAAATTACAACGTTTTTACGGCGCCCCCCTCGGCTACCCCATTCACCTTTTATAGTTAATTCTAAAGGGCGCAAATTAGCGGAATCGATCAGCCACTTTATCGAAGTCGGTGCGTAATTTTCCGTTTTAACAGCTTTACGATCGACCGTTTTTCTTCCTTAAATTTTTCTTCGCCGAAAACTTACTCGTTTATACAGAGCGATCGAGTTATTAATTTAACGAAACTAATTTTTCGCGGTTGAAATTTACACATTTAGGGAGAAAAATGTGGTCATTGTGATGACTAAGACGCGTGACGCGGAAACAATTCGGGTATAGATATATTTAATTAATTAAATAAGTAAACCAATATGGTCCGCAGGTGTACCAACGGAATATGTGTACTCTCTCGTCGTGTTTCCAGTTCTTCCCTTCGGTAATTCACTGATACCGCAAATGGCGTTTCCTGTATCGAATACACCAGCAGTAATCATAATACGATACCTGTCAATTATATCGAGTACTTTCCGGGAAGCGGATACTGGATATTTTATACAGAAAACATATGCGATCATTCCGAGTGGACAGTTTTGATTATCAGTTATTAGAAACTAATTCATGCTAATTTCATACTAAACGCATAACGAACGAATATCCTAATTTGTTTACACGGAATTAGTCCGGTTAAATAGCGAATGTAAGTCGGAAAAAATGGTTTATGCGATTTGTTCGCTTCATTAACCGGGCAATAAAATTATTAAGTCGCCGATTCGAAGGTGCATTCTTGTTGATTAGAAAGTAGTTACAAAGCATGCAAATCGTTCTCACGAGAAGGCTCTAAAAGGGCGCTTTGCACGCGGCCCCGTTCGCTTTTAAGTGGAGCTTTAAAGTCAGATATTACAGATTACGACCGAAATTTATGTTTCGACGACTTTCATACAATGTACGACTCCTAATGTCTATTCGATTATTATAATAAAACGAAAATAACATTTTTTCGAAGACTGTTTTTGTTTTAGGATTCGGGCGTACGCCAATGGATTGTGTGGGGGGAATATTTTAAGGAATGACGTCTACTTTTGATGAGCGGAGGCGCCGCGACGACCGAACGCTTCGCTTGTTTGGACGACTTCTAATATTACAGTCGAACATAAGTTATTTTATGTTTTTAACAAAAGTCTCGGATCGATTATCGATCGGAGTGCGAGCAACAAGCTAGGAATATTAATAGATGCGGCTGTTTTAATGTAATTTCGGCGATGTATTCGAAACTCGGCAACATTGTTCGCTATAATTAACAACGAAAAATGAGCTTTTATTTCGGAAAAATTGTTCGAAAATGAACGGGTAATTTTTAAGCGAATTTCCCGTGTTTTTTTCGGAATGAAAGGGTGTTATTTAGACCTGCTCGTTTCAGTTACGAATACCGTTTTGATGCTTAATAGTGCATTAGACTGAAGCTTTTTCGATTTAATCAACTTTATGGAGGGTTCGATATCCGAATTTTTCGACCAACGCGAATCGAAAATTCCCTTTTTTACGCTCACAAAACAAAATAGGTAATCGAATTAACGTGTCGAAAAAAAAAAAATCTTTACCGCAGGTAATACGCACCCGATCCACCCCCGTCGAATTATTTATTCGAACCGATTCCGCAAAGTTGATAAATCGTTTCATTATAAAATCATTAGCGTCGAAATCTCGTCGGGCGCATCTTCCACCGGCCGTTTCCAGATAAAACCCCTATTACCGATCGGCGAACGGGGGGCCGGGGCGCCGCCGGGGGCTCGCCGAAGCGGGATTAGCATTTCCGAAACCATTAGCTAAATGACGTGATGTATATATGGCGATTGGCTCCACTCCCATCAAGGTGATACGGACCGGAACGTAGGCGATGGGGCGCTGGGGTTAATCCAATTTTTTTTTCCATACTGATACAGATACCTAATCTATCCGCTGCTTACGCAATTTCGTTTGTGCATTGGATTTAAGATGGGCGCATAATTTTTTACGGGTTTTATTTATTAAGGAGTAGGCTAATTTAAGTTTATGTTATCTTAAATAGTAAATTTTTCAATGGACACATGTTTATGTACTAATTATTTATTAATAGTGAAGGTCCTATTTAACCCAGGGTTAAGTGAAAACGGGTCCGCCTTTCGAAGCGAATTTCGCGTTATTGGTATAGCCCAGTAGAAAGGAAACATCAGACATGATATCCTCTTATTAATCTGTTTCGACCTTCGGCATCGAGCCCAACTCTATTACCGAAAACATTTCCTATAAACTACATTTATAGATCGGCCTTCTATCCGTGTATAACGGACAAAACTGCCTAACTTAACTAATGAGAAATCCCGCATACGTTATCTAGATATCATACAGGGTGATTTTTTACACGAGCTGCTTCCAACAATACTCACTAAAAAACCATTTCTAACAAGGGAGATGTACAATACACCATTTCTCGCCACCTTTACCTGAATTAATTATCTACTCGGGGTGCGTATACGATACAATACGATCGTCCAAATCCACCTATATTCATCAGGGGAGCCTCCGACGCGGTACGGTAAGGTACGCACCCCCGGACTTGTTGCTCCGTCACGATAGGGTGAGTCGGGGGCGCCGATTCAGCTGCGTTTTGGAGCACCTGGTGGACTCAACAGCTGACCCGCGTCGGGGCGACGTAATGTACATCTGTCAACGTCACGGCCGGCGCGATTTAAACAATGCTTATATGAATACGCGAGCACCCCCTCGGAGGGACGGAGGGGCGGTAATGTACGGGCGGCGGGGCAGTGGCGTAGCGACCACAAATGATGTAGAAAAGCCTGGTGCATCGGTGTATTGGGTGGAGTAGATTAGAGTAGAGAGTTTAAAGAAGAGAGAATAGAGAGTAGTTATGTCGAGTCTATGGCTCTATATGGCTCTTTCCCTATTCTATACTATCACAAATTTGATTAAAAGGAATTCTAAAATGTATTGTTTGATTTACTGTAAAAAATTACAAATTAATTTGTGTATTTTCGAGTGTGATTTTGCATTAAAACTCGTTAAGTTGTTACCGGGTTAGTGCACAGGCAATTGGTTATAATTAATCAGCGTTTCCTCGCAGGAAGGAGATCGAAATTCGCCCGGGGACGGATGGGAAATGAAAAAAAAAAGTAGAAGAAAAAGACGCGAAATAAACAACGAAAACCGCTAGTAAACGTCGCTCGATTCATTGCGAGCAATC